ATAGGTGGATAAAAATTCCAAATCCAGTCTAAACATCTGGCTGACTGTGTGACCAACAATACTAATATTTTTTTTCTGTTTTAAAAAATAAAAAAAATAATTTTATTTTTCTGTTGTTCCTAGAATTGCTGTAGACAAGGGGTCATGGAAAGGCTATTGAAGGCCTCCCACTCTTCTTTATACTAGGCTCCTGTTCCTGTCAGACTCCTTCTATGATAAGAGCATTGATTTTACTGAACAAGGGAACCCTTTCCTGCAATCAGTGTTTTTGTCCTGTAGGCCTGGACCATAATATTGAGCTAAGCTGGAAAAACAATTTAGGGGAGGTAGAGAAAAATCAGAAACAAATGCATCAAGGAGGTTAACGATATCTTTCTCTTTGTAGGCTCTCCTGGGGTTTGCTGTATACTATGTACATCTCAGTTCCAACGACTGTGTTGTCATTTTGTTTGAAAGCTACATATTTTCACCTAAGCAGCAACTCTGCCATATTTCTCCTGTTTTTCCTTTATGGCACATCGTCTGTAAGTCTTGGGCTTTCATTTTCACAGTTAAAGTGATATTTTTGATGCAACATTCAGAATATATGTTTTTGCTCGGCTGGAGGACAGTTTCTGGATCAGGATGAGAAGCAACTTTTTAATATTAAATTAAAACATTTATTTCTCAAGGTTTTCCTTCAGTTCTCTCTTCTTAATAAAATACCCAAACATGGAATAGTTTGAAGGACCTTGGAGATACCAGTACAAAGAAAGCACACCTAGACTGGCTCAAAATAGACAGATTATTTCTTTTAGGGAAAAGTTATTTGGTTTGGTTAGATGAGAGATAGGAAAAAGTATGTTCCTCTATTTTGTATTTATTGGCATTCATTTGATAAGCCAACTGTACCGTTCCAGATTATATTGAAAGTTTGGCTACTTATAATTTGTTTCTTGATAAATTCCAGATTAGATTACTATTAAATGCTTTGTAGGCAACTATTCAGAAATTTCAGCTCATCCCAAATGTTGCAGTCTGCTAACTGGCTTAGGCTAGTTATAGAGAGCCTGTTACTTCCTTATTTTTGAAAAAGGTACCCTGAGTTGAGTGTTGATATGTTGAGTGTTAGATGTTATATGGATGTACCTGTAAAAAAGGTACATAAGGTAAATGCTGAAAAATAGAATATGAAGGTGAGAGGGAGGGGGGGAAAGGAGAGACTGATGGAAGAATATTGGAAGATTTTAAATTGTTGAATGGGTCAGAGAAAGTGTAGCAGGTGGAGGAGAATATGGAAGAACTGGATGAATTGCAAGAAGGAGAAGAACAAATGTGGGAAAAATGTGAGTGAATGTGGAAGATGAGGAAAGGTGGAAGTCAATAGCTGAGAGAGGAAGGAGGAATATAGAGATGGCAGTGTTGGGAGAATGATGAAAGGACAATAGAATAGTCACCTTGTGTGAGATGGGCGGTTATATAAATATAATAAATAAATAGAGAGTGTACAGATTAGTTGGGAGAACTGGAGGTCTCTGTACAAGATGGAGATGGCATTTTTGGTGGTGGAGGAGTGCTGGGAGAGTGAAGCAACATTCTCCATTCCCCTGCCACTTCTCTACAGCACTGAAGGTGGGACACTATGTTAAGCACAGCCACCTTAAAACAAGAGCACTGAAGGAAGAACAAGACCATTTGGCACTGGGAGACAGCAGAACCAGGATAGGGCCACTGAGAGCTTCTGCTAGTGGCCACCTTGTTTGCTTTACCATTACCATTGTAATGGTCACAAATGGAATACCCAGGTCTGTGGTGCTTTCCGAAGACTCTCCTGCAAATAGTACTGGGGTAGATTCACAGGGAGCATCCCCTCATAGGGTGAGAGGACAGAGGTCTTCTCTAACTTGTAGCCAGGGGTAGGGGTGGGGAAAAGGACTCTCTCTGAAATAAAAGTATGAGGGAGAGCATTCTTATGCAGTTGTGATGTAGAAGGAGAAGGTTCCAAAGAGAATAAAGTCCAATAGCAGGCTAAAAAGTTGAACCACCAATATTGAGCAGGGAGGCTGAATGGATACTTATTCAAAATTCTTGAGTCTGAGGAAGAGCGGAAGGGCAAAAGTAGGATCTCTATAATGATGGGCACAGAAAAGTATGATAGGATGTCTTGGATAGGCTCTTTAGAGGATGTGGAACAGGCAATTTGGTGCCAGGTTCCATTTGGGGCCCCATAGTCTTTTCATGTGGTCTGGATGCCAGAGCACTTAGAGCCAAATGCTGGACTCAATTCTCTATTGCTGATTTTCTGCCTCCCTTAACCTTCTTCATCTTGAACATTTACAGTTTGGATGGTATATTACTACAGTGACTGGACTCCATATCCTCTTGTTTAGAGATATAGTAACCTTTTGGAAAACATGGCTATGGGAAGGCATTATGCACTGTCTTCCTATTAATTCAATTGCAGTTTGAACCCTGGCCTGGAAGTATCTGCTGCAATGGTTGATTGTTTTAATGTGGGGTGCAACAGTTGCACTATGAAAATATATACAGTGCAGATCCACTGAATACTTTATTCATTCATTGTAACTTGCATATTTGTAGAGAAAGTGTTTCCTACTAACTGGCAATTTCTTCTTTCTCAGATATGTTTCTGTTTCATGTTGATCTGTCTCCTAAAGAAGCCCAGAATAACTAGCTTTGTTATCTTCATCTCCATTTTCTGTTTTGGAGCCCTCGTCGTTACTACAACAACCAGGATGATGCCTCCAACTTTGGAATTGCTCTTGAGCATATTCTGCCCATTTGCCTTTGGTGCTGGGCTTTCAAAGGTAGAGTGCCACACTGTATTTTACTTCAAAATTCTACCTTCCTAACCATGGTGGGGCTAACAGGAAACACATTTGATTCTTACTTTGATGAACTCAGGTAGCATAGGCATTTCTTTTCTAAAGTTATTTTGATAAGGGGCACACAGAAAACTGGACATGGGCACAAAATGGCATTCCATTCTATTCCTTCCTTCATACTGCTGAGATCCTTGCTTTCATTTCAAGGGGATTAGAGTCTGATCAATAGTTTAACTTACTAAACAGTTAGCTACATTCCAGTTCTTTGTTCCTGCCTATCAGGATTTGATTTGCAACAATTTGGACTTTGTTCTTTTCATGCAGGCTCTCTATTTTCAAAAATATGGAAGAATCTTCGATTTGTCTGTCTTAATGTTCGAACCGTATGGTTATTTCTTGTTTTTTGACAGTGTTTTATATATGCTGCTGGCTTTCTATTTTGACAAGATTGTGCCTGGTAAGAATATTATTGTGAATATATTATAGTTTGAAAATTGCATTTCTGCAAGTTGCATTTCATTATCTCAGATGCATCATTTTGGATCTGAGTATGAACTGTAACTGGTGTGAAAAATGACACTTTGGGGAAAAGCTGAGACAGCAAGATTATATCTTTCTTTAGATTAAGTTGCCTGAAATTCATCTGAAGCTTCTAAATACAACAGTATTGTTCAGATATCATGCATACATGCCTACAAGTTACTGTAGTCCATTTTAAAGTAACCAGTGTTATGCAAAGCACAGAAATGGTGTAAGACAGAGTAAGCAAATGAAATTAAAGGTGGATGACAAGAGAGAAGAAAAACTTTCCTTTTGTTCTCTAAAACTCTGTCATTTTGTGGAGCTCATCAGTTCCATTGGCTTCCCCTTCTTGTGTTGCAATTCAGTTCCCATTTATTTTCCCTGTATGATCAAACAATCCCAGTGTACTGTTTTCATTCAAATCATTCACTTTGTACTCAATCCACAGATAGTCAGCACCCATTCATTCTTGGCTTTTTAGTTTCTTGTTTTACCATTCACAGTTTTTAAGTAACACATTTGTACTGCATTAAAGTGAGTTTTATGTTTCTCCTGATATCCAATTCTAACAAATTGACAGAAACCTGCTTTTATACCTAGCCATTTCTGCTTCTTTTGACAAACATGTTCACAACAGAACTCATTCCAACCAATACATACTTTTCTACCAGCATTTGTATGTCTTAAAAACATTCCATCCATGTTCCTATTTTTAGTAAACGTTCTACCAAGGTACACAAATTCACCCACTTATACCAGTTTATTGCTATTTATGTGTAACTTGCAATTGTTCATTCCATTTTCCCTGTGAAATACAACTATTGTGCTCTTGGATACTATAATTTTCATGCTGTGTTTCTTCATAACATTTGTTGCAATTATTTGGGTTCTCAGCCAACAGTATGGCATCATCATTACAAAAATCCACATATATCACATTCCCAACCAACACGATTAATTTCACCACAATAATTCCTTATACAATGATAAAAAAATATGCAAAACAGCCAAGGGGATATCACACCTCCTTCTCTTGCTCTCTGTTCAATATTGAACCTTTTGCTAAGCGTCCCATTTATTCTCAATCATGCTTTAATTCCATCATATACACTTCATACAAACTATTCTACATTCATACCTATTAACATCATATACTTTTAAATCACAATCATATACATTAGTATAGTATACTATCAGAATTGTGCAAGCCATGGTATTCCCTGTGACACGCTATGAAAGTGAATTTTGGACTTTGAAGAAGCAGGACAGGAAGAGTATTGATGCTTTTGAACTTTGGTTTTGGAGAAGACTCCTGAAAATACCATGAATAGCCAAAAATATAAACCAATGGAGGTTCGAACAAATCAACCCAGAGTTCTCACTCAAGGCCCAAATGACCAGGCTCAAACCGTCCTACTTTGGACACATTACACAAAGATCTAACTCTCTGGAGAAGGCTCCAGTGCTGGGAAAATGGAAGGAAAGAGAAAAGAGGACAACCAGCAGCAAGTTGGATGGACTCAGTTATAGTGGTGTTGGGTGCCCCATTATTGGAATACTGGAAGGACCAGGTTAGGGACAGATCGTCATGGAGGAAATCTATCTAGGTGGTCACTAAGGGTCAACAATGACTTGATGGCACATAATCAATCAATCAATCAATTGTAAACTTCTTCCTCAAACTCATACATTTCTAAATGTCTTGCTGAAAATAACAGTCTGGTCTAAAGCCAAATTGTCCTTGTATTTTTTCAGTCAGAGTTCTGCCTGACACTTCCCCAGGCACCCTTAACAAACTAGAGTGTCTTGCACTGAGTCTTGCTCTCAGCCTTCACACGCAGACACTGTCTTCACAAATACATTAAAGAAGTTCCATAGCCATCCCATAAGGAAACCACATCCATATTTTGACCTGTCTTAAGTTACACCATCTCTACCAACCACTTTGCCATTTTTAAACATTCTAGCAGCATTTAAAATTTGCTTTTCATCATTTTTTTCTTGGACACATACATTCATAGTATTCATTTTATTTCTACCCTTTGACATACCACTATCATTCCCATATTTATTTTTAAAGTACTTCTTACAGGAAAGTCGCTTCTCACTTCAGGTTCGTCCCAAATCACGTCATCATTTTTACTGTTTATTACATTTATTCTACTGAAGGCTGCTTCTTTAGCTGTCTTCACCCACTTCTAAAATATTTTTTTACTTGCATCAAAATTGTTCTGCATTGTCCTGCCTCTTTTAATCTCAACTGTTCCTTGCTATTTGGCCACATATTTTGCAACTCTCTTTGTGTCTTTAAAGCATTGTTCTCATTCTTATTTTTTGTAGCAACCATTCTATTGTTTGCATTTTCTTTCTCACCCACAGTTTCTTTCATTTCATCTTTTCACCAAGCATCCTTTTTCATAGTGCCTATCGGCTTAAATCCACACACTTTGGTGGCAGTCTGCAATATTATTTTTTTCCCACATTATTTCAAGCCTCATTTCCTTATGGCTCTTTCCCTTTATTCTTTTGGGAGATTAATCTGTCTTCAAATAACTTTTCAAACTGGACTCATCCAGTCTGAAGTAGGTCACCAGCCTTAGTTATATCTGTGTCACATGCAGATTTCTCTGCTAATGACATGGCTAGCAATATCAGCAGGAATTCTCAAATAAATTATATATTCCTATTTGTGGCTTTGGTGTTATTTTCCTCTTTTTTTTAGTTTTGATGTAAGTTGTGACTTATTAGGCAGAGAGCTGAACTGACTGCATCATCACACATTCACTTTATTGTCAGGTACACAGTGAAAAAAATACTACAAAAGACTAACATTGTAATTTATTACATGTTCAATGTGAACATTAAGAATTTACAGTTATTTTGGATTTATGACAACTTGCTATTTGTAAAATTTTGATTGTAGACAAATATGGGGTGCCTCATCCTCCACTGTTTTTCTTGAAGAAGACCTATTGGTTTAAATCAAAAAGCTCCTATGTTGATGATGCTCCTACAAATGAACGGAATCATGGGAATATCTTCAGTGACAATGCTGAACCTTTGCCTCCTGAATTTGATGGGAAGGAAGCCATAAGGTAAGAGACATTGAATGTGGACACTCAATACTGTGAACATATTGTAGATTTCTTTTACTTATAGGTTCTTCTCTTTTTCAAAGATCACTTTAATTTCTGCTTTCAGAGGGCATCAGGGAAGATTCTTTCATATGGAGAAAGTAATATGAGAAATACATTTCTGCTGCTGCAGGTAGTCCTTGGTTTACCATCACTCATTGTCGGGTTCAGCCCAAGAAACTCAGCAAGACGATTCAGGAACAGTTCAGTTACTTTATTAGCTTACACCTACTAGACAGAATCTTGCCAGACTAACTCTAACCCCCAGCGACAGCAACTAAACTCTGAATTCCTTAGGGTGGTGCCAGTCTCATCCTCTTAGTTTT